AGGAGTCCCTTACCATAGTAGGCTTGGCACAGTTCCCAGCTCACAATTGATGTAGCAGCTGTTATTGAATGAATGGATACCCATATATGCTTTAGGTTTTTTTCAAGGAGGCTGAAGGAGGGGTTGCAGAGTCACTCCCTTGCTCCCCTCAGTAAGGTCGAGTGGGTTTAGAGAAAAATGTTTACATTTCTACCTCCTATTTCCTTCCCTTGTAGGCATCCCAGGCCCTGTGCACCTTTCTGCCTCTTGGTTCCTACAGGAAAGCGGTGGCCCAGTTTTTCCCCCAGCTCTTGATGACCCTTATGTTCCAAGTCTTCTACAGCAATGAGTTGAAACTGACACCAAGGAACAATGCTTTGTGAGATAATACTGGTTATTTCAGATTAAATAAGAGATAAGCATCCAGCTGTCAATACTTCTACCCCCTTGGGTTCATATGGGATTCTTTACAGTCCCATGTACAGTGTGTTCATTTATTACAGTTTTCTCTTCTCTGAATGGTAGAATGCATTCAGAAAAGTAACCAGCCTGAGTATCTAAAAGTTAGCTCACCTCCCCTGAGCATGTGTAGCATATAAAGAGCCATGACCACAGAACTCTGTTGATTCCTACCACACTCCCTATCAGATCAGTAAGAGACTACCACAGAAAAGACAGCAGAGCATTAAATCCAAAGTCAGATACGTTTTTGCTCTGCCATTTACTTACTTTGTGCTAGTAACCTCTCAGGGTTATTATACATATAAGATTAAAAATGATGTGCTCAAATGTACTTTGTGAACCGTAAAGTTAATTCATGTTTGGAGATGTGATATATGGGTTTATGACTACATGCAGTTGTCTGTCCACAGAGAAGTTTGGCAATTCCTTTTTGCTCAAGAGAGTACAGTTGATTTTGCTACCCAGCAGAGAAATCTCAACCCAACTGTCTACTATTTACCCTATTCTATATGAAGACGTACATCAAAGCATCCCAACTAGATGAAAATCTATCCTATTCATTTAATAGAAGAAAATGGATACCTTTAGCAAGTCATTGCATCATTGAACATCTCTTTAAAATTAATCTATCGCAAATAAGCTAGTAATAATAAACAAATAAGCTGTTCTGTGATTGATGCTAGATTTTATGTGCCACGATTTTAATTTAACCCCTATCCCATGTATTGTTAATCAGGGAAGATGAAGGACATTTAGCAATCTTTTTCTTTTGAGACATCCCCTTTCTCAAAACCTATATTCTGCCCAAGATAGGATGAAAAGGCAGGTAATGTGTATTTAGTTTTTTGAATATCACTGACATGTGATGATCTTGCTCTCTTTTGGGGCTTTAGATATGCTCAGGATGCCCTGAGAGTTCTGCTGAATTGTTCTGGACTGCAACAGGTGGATATTACTCTTAACGAAGGCGAATTTCTGGGACCAGTTATCTGAAGAGCTGTGTTACTATTACGGAGTCTACTTTATTGCTAAGTAAGGACAGGGGTCTCTGTGTAGGATTCTTGGTCTCTATCCCACCTTCTCCAACTTCCTTCAATAAGCCATGAGGGAACAAAATAGGCATCTATTCCAATTTCCAGATCTCTCTTAATGATATGAGTTGCTATTTGATTTCTACTTCTTCAGTTATTTTGAAGGGTTTTTATTTGTGATTTTTTTCCTTTTTCTTGCCCTCTTACCTGATAATATAGATGCCCCATTTTCCTCCCTCCACAGAACAGGTTTCTTTTTTAACAGATACAGAAAACTAGAAGTGAGTTTGGTTTTTTCCCTCTGATTTTAGCTGATTCCTGCACTGCAGGCATCAGTTTTAAATGTGTTTCCACTTGAAAGAGGTCCAATAAAAACCTATACTGAATAAGCCAAATAAATTTGGAAAAGAATAGTAGAAGAACACTTTTATTTTTCTTGTACTAGAAAGGGGGTTTTCTAGTTAACCCTTTAGTGAACAGCAAGTTTCTATATTGTAGAGATCAGATTTTCTGATCAAGAATCGAAATACGAGCTGTTGACAACATGACAGACTAAGACTACTTCAAGTTGTGACTGACCCAGAAACTACACTCTTTGTGGTCTATGGGGCCTTGGTGCTTTTATAACAGAATCTCATTTGCAAATAGATTTCAGGGGCACATGCTGTGTAAAAGTGTAGTACATCTGTACCCTGCAAGTTGTCACAAGCTGAATGTCACTCTAAGGATATCTAAGAAGTAACTTTGGATCTTCTTACTCAAACAAA